GGCTGTTGTGTTATAGTTCCAGCCACAGTCCTTTCTAGCTGTCCGAGCTCTGCATCAGTGAGGGCTGTAGCAGTTCCCCTATCTGGCTGGCTTCAAGCTATAAAGCAGTTTGGGTAATCCTGTCCCGCTCTGGTCCTCTTTCAGACGTACTACCAGACCCCGCCACCCACCTTCTCTTTCCGCCAGCGAGCTTTCCACAAGAGTGTGGTCTACCTCTGGGTCCTGTGCAGGTAATGGGGCCCAGGGGTTGGGAGGGAGAGTGCTGGTGGAAGCAGCGTGCAGCCCCCTGCCCTGTGACATTGCTCAGCCTCTGCCTCCCCGGGGCTGGGCTGCCTCGCTCTAGCACAGACGTCCCTGCCCTGCCAGCTCTTAGGCCACACAGGAGGAGAGGTTTCAGCTCTGTGTCACAGGGGATTAGATGAGCCCACCCACCTACGCAGCCGTGGGCGCGGGGAGGCAGCCTCAGCCCCACCAGCTGCGGCACCAGGGAAGGAGCACCTGTGTGCAAGCCGCTGTCCCTTGCCGTCCCCAGCTCGGTTGCGTTGGCCCTGGGTGCCCTCACAGTATGGCACGCTGCCCTCATCACCCGTGGGGAAACCAGCATCGAGCGGCACATCAACAAGAAGGAGAGGCAGAGACTGCAGAAGAAAGGCAAGGTGAGCGCAGCCCGCAGAGCGGGAGGGCTGGCCAGGGCAGAGCCAGACGTGATGTGTGTCTCCCTGGCCTGCAGGTCTTCAGGAACCCCTACAGTTATGGCAGCTGGGATAACTGGAAGGTGTTCCTGGGCGTGGACGTGCCAAGGTAAAGCGCCTGCCCGGGAAGGTGGTGGCTCAGCCGCGTGTGGGGGTGCTGGGGCTCTCCTTGGGCAGCTGGGGCAGAGCAGGACAGCAAGCATCCCCTGCTGCGCACGGCTCTGGGCTTTGCGAGGCACAGAGGACCCGGGCATCAGCTGCGTTGTGGCTCCTCAGCCCTGCCTGGTGGCAAGCTCCCGCCCACCGAGCACCCCTCCTCTGCCAAGAGCGAGCTGGCTGAGGAGCTCGGCCATCACAGCAGCTCAGGGACACGGGCTCGCACCCCTCGGTGGTGCCGACAGCCCTGGCTCAGCTCTGTAGAGCTGAGAAGCACCGAGACTTCAGATTTTTGCTACAGCCTCGCTCCTCTCCCCACAGGCACTGGCTCACCCGCGTCCTGCTGCCCTCTCCTCACCTGCCCCATGGGACGGGGCTGAGCTGGGACCTGCCTCCCTGCGTGACCGAGCAGCGCACGCCACTCCTGGCCATCTGAGGCCCGGGTGCTGCAGACGTCCCTCCCCGCAGGCAGGGGAGCGCAAAGGCGACCCGCTCTGCCACTGCGGATCCCTTTGGACCAAGTACCGAGGCGGGTGCTGGCATGGATCGCTGACCAAAGCTGGAGCCATGGGAAACTGTTTGGACGGTGTTGGTGCTGGGACGCCGGCTCCTTGGGGGCTGCAGGCAGCCCCAGGGGAAAGGTGGCAGAGCTGCTGCTCCCCGCTCTAGCTGAAGGTGCTGCCCTCGCCAGCACAGGCACGGCCCAGCACGCAGCCCAGCGCAGCTCTCGGGCAGGGCTGGGTGCAGAGGATGGCACACCTGTCCCCCACACACTCCCCAGAGAGCCTTTTTAAGACCATCCAATAAATTTTTTTTTTTTTTTAAGGAAGCCTGGCTCTTTTCCCTGGTGGGGGGGGCACAGACTTCCCATGATTCCCCAAGGTGGAAGGAGGCATAAGGGCCTGTAACCAGCAGCACCTTTAGCTACTCAACATACAGAAGGGCACTGGGGTCCCAGCGTGGGCTGCACAGAGACCCCCGCAGCATTACCAAAACAGATATATTTATTCCTCTGGCGCACGGGTTGCCACACACTGTACACGTGTGCACTGGCCTGCCCTC